CTAGGCAATGTTTCGATGAAGTCTCATTCATCATCTTCAGGCTTGTGTCTTCGGCTCTGTGCTTCTCAGAGTGAAGCACAGATATATATATATTTGTTTTCTGAGGTTCTCGCGGGTATTAGTATGTGGATCTTTGGTTATTCGGGTTTTCTCCCGCGTAAGATTGGAAGTATCCAGGCAACGTTTCGATGAAGTCTCATTCATCATCTTCAGGCTTGTGTCTTCAGCTCTAGCAAACGTTGCCTAGATACTTCCAATCTTACGCGGGAGAAAACCCGAATAACCGAAGATCCACATACAAACACCCGCGAAAACCTCAGAAAACAAATTATAGTATAGTTCAAATTATAGTATAGTTCAAAGTGAACGTATGAATGGATATAAAGATGTATCAAGACTGTGCAGAAATGGACAAGTGGACGTTAAAACTGAAAGAGAAAGAAGAGTCGGAGTATTGTGAAATTGGGGATAATTGGTATAATTGGCTGAATAATAAAGGAAATAAGAAAAGTATAGTTCAAAGTGAACGTACGAATGTATATAAAGATGTATCAAAGGTAGATAATTTGTATGAGATTGATGTGTAGAATAATTTGTATAATAATGATGATACAATACTCTTAAAAGTCAAGATTAATGCGCGTTCAAAGGTCTCTTAGGCCCCCTTTTATCATTTCTGTTATTTATTCCCTTCTTTTTAAATTTAATTTGTATTTTTAGGCTGCTCCCTTGAAAGGCGACTTGGCGGGAAAGGAGTGTGTGCATGTGTGTGTGTGTGTGTGTGTCTTACAATTACCTGGCATGCCTTCTTACCTGTCCAAGAGCTCCCCCTGGCATCAGCAACCCAAGGGAAAACCCGTTGGTGCCAGGATACCAGGCGGAAGCCCCTCCCCTCCTGGCCCAGGAAGGGGAGGGACGTGGCGTTGCCGGCCCATCCCACGGCAGCCTCCCCCGCCCCCCCCGGTGGGCATCCATACCTGTTGCAGGTGCTTCATCCCGTCCTCATCCTCGTTGTCGCCCACGGTGAATTCGGCGGCAGGAGCAGCAGGCGGGGCCACGGGAAGCGGAGGGACGGCGGACGGGGCGGGCTGAGCCGGGCAGCCGAGAGAGCCCGGGTCCCCTAGGTAGGCGGGAAGAACGAAGAGGGCGTCAACCAGACCGGGTTCACCCTTGCGCGGGGTGTCCCGCCCCCCGACCCCGTGAGCGGGCAAAGCTTCCCCCTCGGTCACGGGTCGCGAACCCCGCTTCTACCTTGGCCAGGGTCACCTACCATCCACGGCCTCGGCCTCTGGGTTGCCAGAGGACAGCAGCGCTAGCTTCTCGGCTTTGGAAGAGTTGCCCGGCGCGATATTTTCACAGTTGCTGGCGGCGGCGACGGCGAGAGGAATGAAGGGAGGGCTCGGCTGCCATGGGGTGCCCGGCGGAGCGGGGAGCTTCTTCTCCTCGGGGCCGAGCCGGGAGTCCTTTTGATCTGGAGGGAAGGGAAAGAAGGAAGGCCTCAGCTTCCAAACCCCCCCGACGGCGGTCGCTGACCACCACCCCCCGCCCGGCCCCCCCCCGCCCAGGGGGCTGCCACCCCCAACGGCCTTCCCCCCTCCCCCTCACCTCTCTCCGCCCTCTCCACGGCGGTGGGGCTGACGGGCCCCTCTCTGGGGTTGCCTTCCTTGGCTTCCGGCGGCGGCTCCTCCGCCTCCTCTTCCTCCTGCTCCTCCGGCAGCGGCTGGAAAGTCAGCTCCTGCTCCTCCACCGCCAGGTCTTTGGGGCTCTTCTGCAGAAAACATGGGGGGAGGGGACGATTTCGCACCACGGGCTCGGCCTGCCTGCTTCACGAACCCCCCCTCCCGCCGCCAACCTTGGCCGCTTCCATGCCGAGATCTCTAAGCCAGTGGTCCCCAACCACTGGGCCCCAGACCGGTACCGGTCCGTGGATCATTTTGTCCCGGGCCGCCTATTTCGCTCGGGCGCCGCCATCTTGTTTCGACGGCGCTTTGAGAAAGTGCTTCCGGGTGAGCTTGTCGGTCGTTGGAAAGCGGCATTTGGGTGAAGGAATCCTCCTCGCGCCTTCGTTTCGTCGAAAGGGGGGCGGCTTCGAATGAAGAGCCATCCCGATGGCGGTGGCGTCTCGCGTGACTCAGGAGGAGATTAAGAAAGAGCCCATCGACCGCGAGAAGGTACAAAGGAGGATGTTGAAGGTGGCGAGGAGAATTGGCGGGACGGCTGGCTGGCTGGCCGGTCGTTCGGCTCGCCTTGCCTTGGTCGTGCGTGCTGATGCCGGTCCCGGTCCGTGGATTTTACCGGTCCGTGGTACAAAAAAGGTTAGGGACCACTGCTCTAAGCCACCCAACCTTCCAACGAGTTCCCCCAACTCGCGACGATAAATATGACCAAGAGAGAGGAACTATCTGATCGACGGCTAAGCTGGAAATAGCTTAGGAGATGAGTGAAGTATAGAAAAAGATGCGAATAGAACGAAACACGTTAAGAAGAGGAAGTGTTATAGCAATGGAGATATTATTAAGAACAGAAAATTAATATCCCAGTGAACGAACACGGATGTAAATTTTTAACAGTTATCGCACCAGGTCTTGGTACTCAGCCGACACACCGTTAAGTGGAAGAGGAATTGTATGTACTTTAAATAGAATAAAATAAATTACACACGCAAAGACAAAGCGGTCCATGCATCGTCCATGGGCCAAGGTGATGGCGCGGCGTTCGTGCCCAGGGAGACAAGAATATGCGAAATACGGTGGCGGAATTTGGGTTTGGCTAATCTAGAGGGTCTACCCCAAAGAAGAGGAAGGGGGTCAAGCTATTCTCCAAAGCAGGGACCGTCAACCTTTTGGACCTCAGGGACCACACCCAACTCGTCATTTTAAAATCCCGGGGACCGCTAACCGGTTCTGTGGGCCTGGCCCAGTGTGTGGGTGTGGTTTGGTGATCATGTGACTGGCTGGGCATGGCTTGTATGTAAGGATTATAAATATTTATATCAATATTGAATTTTTTATTTAAAAAAAGAGCAACTTTTATATCCAGAATCAGGCAAAGCGGGCAGACAGATTGAGATGCTCACAGAATCACAGATTCACTCAGGGATCTATCCTTCTGCCATCAGCTACTCGAGTCTGTCACATA